ATGATGACTATAGCTAACACTGTTGGATGATATATGGGGAAGTTATTAAGAAAATAAATCCTATGAGTTCTCATCACAGGAAAAAACTTTTTCCTTTTTTCTTTTTATTGTATCTATATGAGAAGATGGATGTTAGCTGAACCTATGGTGGTAATGATTTCATAGTACAGGTTTCCCTTGCTATCCCAAAATTCACTTTACACCACTTAGCTTTTAAGAAAGACCTATATTAGTACCTGTTTTTATTAACCGAAAGAAATCCGAAGAGGATTTTTGCCGTTACGAAAAAAGATGAAAAGGGAAAATAGCATTCAGCATTTATTTTGCAGTGAGCCAGTTATAGAGGCTAAGCAGTCCAGCAACTGTCGTATTTCAAGCCTTCCACGTCAGCCACAGCAGCCAGCGAACAGCGACCTTTGACATTGAGGAGGCAGACATAGACGAAGGTGTAGAGATCAGTGACTTACCCCCCCTGGTGGATTCAGAGGTAGATGAGATGTTGATAGACGACCCTCCTCCTCTCTCTCCTCCACCCCTTCTCCTGCACCTCCCACCACCCCAACCTGCAACGACTCAGCCTCATGCCCCGTCATCACCACCACCACCATCTCTCGGCCTTCCCGTGTGCTCACTGCCTTCTCCATTCTGGTAAGTGAAACATCAGACAATGTTTCTACTTTATACAGGCTGGGTAATTATCGTATCATTCCTGCTTTTACTATATGTTAGTGTTATTTTAGGTTTTATGTGTTATTTGGTATGATTTGATAGGTTATTTTTTGGGTCTGGGACGGGTCAAAATTTTTTCCCATACGAATTAATGGTAACTGCTTCTTTGCTTTGGCCATTTCACTTATGAAAGCTTTCATAGGAACTCTCTACTTCCAGATAGCAGGGGAAACCTGTATATGTAAATCAGACTATCATGTTGTATGCCTTAAACTTGTACAGTGATGTATGTCAATTGTTTCTCAATAAAACTAGGAAAAAAACCCCACTGCATTGTACCCTGACAATGTGTGGATTTTATGGTATGTGAAATATACCTCAATAAAGCTGTTAAAAAAAAAAAGATAGGTACATGAATGTTCATAGCAGTATTACTCATGATAGTGTGAAACTGGAAACAACCCAAGTATCCATCAACAGTAGAATGTGTAAGCAAATTGTGGAACATTCGTTCACTAGAATACTATATATAAATAAAAATCAACAAACTACAGCTACAGGCTATAATGTGGATGAATCTTAAAAACAATATTGGGTGAAAGAAATCCAGCAAACAGAATATATATTTTATGATTCTATTTATGGGAAGTTCAAAAGTAGACAAAATTAAACTTTTTTTTAGGGATGGTAAACACATTAAGAAAAGAAAGGAAAGTGATTAACATGAAATTCAGAATAATTGTTTCTTTAAGGGGGAATGTAAGGGCGTGTGATTGGCAAGGGGCCATGGGTGGGGACCTTCAGAGGTTTTACAAAATATCTTTTGTTTTTCCTATAAAAACCATTCCTATTGAGGTTTAACTTATGTACAATAAAGTTAACATTTTGTATACGGATAAGGTTTACACATGTATGTAATGTATAATGTATAGTGTAACCTGTACCTTAGTCACACAGGTGTTGACTTTATAATAATTCATTAAACTGTACATTTGTATTCTATACACAATAGGTGCTAAATTTTACAGTTTAAAAAGTTAAAAATAGAGTTTGAATACAGCAGAGGATCTTGGGAATCAGCCCGGATCCAAGGTGAACATGAGCTAGCAGTTAGGCCTCTGTTAAAAAACAGTTGACACATGTTGGGAATAAGAGTGAAAGTGACACACAGCAGACAAGAAACCATCCTCCTGGCTTGTCTGTGGAATTATCACTGTGGGGGCAGGAGGTCAGATCCCAACTGCCCAGGCAGACCCTAAACTTGGGCCATATGATTCATGAGCTTTTCCCCTTGAGAGCGGAAAGCAGATGGGCCCATGAGAAGGCAGGCTTGACACTAGTGAATATGAGGAAGATGAAGCCTAGACACCTTATCTCATTGGTGCTGGTCCTCTGCTAGTCCTCCACTTCTCCACGCCTTCTTGGACATTCAGCAGCCTGTGTACTCATCTCTCTTCTCTTCTTGCCATATACCCGTATCCAAAGTCAAGGCGGGTCTGAAGGCCAGCTTGGTTGACTCCTGGTCCAGTCAGTGCTGTTTCTATCACATCACACTGGCCAAAGGTATTTGTACCTTAACCTTTATCACTGATTATGAATGAAAGGTTTTGTGTCCTATTAAAGAAATTTCCGTCACCAGTGACTGTCGTATGAGGTGTGTTTTGGGTGAAGTGGGCCTTCCTGCCCCTGCTGTAGCACATTGTAAGCTCTGGTAGAGTGTGCCCTAGGGAGAAGGGGTCAGGCAACTTTAAAAAAAACACTGCAGGTGATTCAGATATGACAACCAGTATCCTGTATGACAACCTGCCTTCTCTCCACACCCCATCCCTCACCGAGAACCACCCTTTTACAGGAAGGCCACTCACTGGGCAGATGTAATATCTATTCATTCATTCATTCATTCATTCATTCAACAACTCTTCCCTGAGCTCTGACTGTGTGTCCGGCCCTGGGCTAGCACTGGTGATTCAGAGTGGACAAAAACAGGCAAGGGCACTGCCTTCTTGGAGTGGTTTAGCACAGGACACACATTAGTGGAGTCAAGCAGATAAAGGTAAAATCACCACTCACGTAAGTGTTGTAAATTTTGGTTTATTCACCAAAAAGAGAGATGAACTGGGGGTAGCTTTTTTTTTTTTTTATATTTTTATCCCCAAAGCCCCGGTAGATAGTTGTATGTCATAGCTGCACATCCTTCTAGTTGCTGTATGTGGGACGCGGCCTCAGCATGGCCGGAGAAGCGGTGCGTCGGTGCGCGC